AATAATAATAATAATAATAATAATAATAATAATAATAATAATAATAATAATAATAATAATAATAATAATAATAATAATAATAATAATAATAATAATAATAATAATAATAATAATAATAATAATAATAATAATAATAATAATAATAATAATAATAATAATAATAATAATAATAATAATAATAATAATAATAATAATAATAATAATAATAATAATAATAATAATAATAATAATAATGATGATAAAATATTATAATGAGCAAGGACAAATGTTTAACACATGTCATAACACAAATTGGCGCTTGTCATAATCAAGGTTATTTGAACATTAGTTTAGCATATATTTAAAGATGAGCATGCGTCAATATGAGCTCACAACTAGGGATGTCAATATATGACACACCTTGAAAACTTGACCAGGACCCGACCCTAAAATTACAAGTTCGTGTCAACCTGTTTAAAAAATGAGTCGGGTTCTGGTTAATTTTTCGATCTGATTAACATATCGGGTTGAGTTCAAGTTAACCTATGAACCCAAACACAACCCTTTTGACTTGCCCTAGCTCGGCCGCATCTCGCCTCGCCCGTCCCGTCGCGCTCACAGTAGTTACTCGGGTTTGTCATCTCACCATCGCCCTTCACCAGCTATCCCTCACTCTCCTGCTTGCACTAAACCGGGTTAGCAAGTCAGGTCGTGTGGGGTCGGGTCAGGTTAGGGTCTAGATTTTTAACCCATTTGGACAAACGGGTTGGACGGGTTAAGAGCGGGTCAATTTCAGTCTTGACCCGAACCCAACCCAAAAACTTGTTTTCACACGCCTACTCACAACATACGATTCCTGCAATTAAACATAGCCCATTGAAGCATATAACGAATCTAATTAGAATGGTTAAAATATTTTAGTATTATCAAAATCATTATCACCACACATCATGAAAAATAGTCATCTCTCTTATTTTTTAGTCAGATCTATCAAATCAACGTTCTTTGTTTATTTCAAAAAATACTTATAACGTATTTCAATGAAAGGATAACTATTAGTTTATCTCTTACACTTCCACAATATGATTGTTGAAGTACATATCTTACTCTGCCACATGTAATAGTTAAAAGTTAATTAAGAATCAATGGCATGACATAATATGCTTAAGCCTCTCTCTCGATCACTCTCCTAAAGAGCATTACCTTTGTTATTATTGTTGGGAAGGAGATCTCAATCTAGGAAAAGGAAAAGGACAATGATTGATGGGGCCATGAAATAAGCGCCTCAGTGAGGAAGTCGATCACTGAGTAAAAATACATTCGGATTAAGGTTTCATTAGAGGATTCTTTACAATTCATCAATATCATGCTATCGTGTGATTTACTTCTTCTCCAACCATCAAAAAAGTGTGCTCATGCTTCCTTTCAACTTTTTTCTCACATGGATCTATTTATTCAAAGCTGCTTCTCTTCCCTGGGCACTGATATCTTAGGATAGCAATGCCATGTCTGCTTGATTAAGTGTAGGGTTGAACTCTTAGGCTGCTCCTTTGGGATTAGACAGTTTGGTTCCTCCATCACCTGATTGGACTTCTGTTGAAGTTGTTGGTGGAAATCGGATTCCTCTACTAAAAAATTCCGTCTACATGAACTAGTTGGACAATATGCTAATGGCTAGAAACAGACAAGTGGGGTCCACCTTGTCCGCCCCCTCCTCTGGGCTTTTCCGCCTCCGCCTGGTGTAGACCCGGGCTGAACCCGGTCCAGCCGACCCCTCCTGGGCCGGTTCACGCGTAACAGACTTCTGTTGAAGTTGTTGGTGGAAATCGGATTCCTCTACTAAAAAATTCCGTCTACATGAACTAGTTGGACAATATGCTAATGGCTAGAAACAGATTGACTTGATGAATGATATGAGTACTGAGACAGAATATAGCTAAATAGCCTATAAAAATATAGATGTGTGCCACATTAGAAGAATCTTCCATTAAATATACATTTAGGCTATATCTGACCAAGCTCACATTTGTTAACCATTTATTAAGGAAGTTTACCAAACATTTAGGATAAATGGATGATTCCAACTAGCTTTTTCTTGAAATTTTCAGTAAATCAGTTAGTCATCAAAACAGTACACTACCTGGAAAATAGTGCAATTTTAAGTAACAATTTCTTTCTTTTTTCAATTACCTTCAACTTTGAACTATTAGAGGTCTCAATTGTCAATTCTTGCATCAACTCCTCTTTTTCCTGTGCCAACTGAAATAAAAGTAGAGCATTAGCTTACGAGGTCAAATACATATCAATAGTGTAAACATTGAAAAGCCTTTAGAACTATGTTTAAAGTAGAATGCATGTTGAGCAAAACAACAAATATAAATCCTACCTAATAGTAAACGAAGCAAGATCTTACCTCAGACATTAGAGAACTAATGTTATCTATCATTCTAAGCTGATCGCTGGGAATTCCAACAGAAACATCAGGAAGATAAACACTCATGCCATCTGTTAGAAAGGAGGTCGTTGTCACAAAATCATTCAATGCTGTGTTATTTCGCACACTCATGGTATTGCTGGCCAGTATTTCTTCCTCCTTGGTCTGTCTGTCAATGTCATCACCTTAAGGAAGCAAAGATGGTCCATCAGCAGGCTTTTCAAAAGCAACAAAACACAGCCATAATAACCAGTCAAATATGAACTTTTCTTATAGATCGCCACATGAACCCGGACTTCAGATGATAGGCACTTATAAAATAATACTTACACAAATAAACATCATTCAAATTATAAAAAAAACTTAATTTATGACAACATATTCTGCTCAGCCTAACCAGGTACAGCTATCATATCATTAGCATGATCCCAACCATTTGGCACAGCAATGAAATGCAAAATTAATCAGCACGGTAAACGTTTATTCAAGGAGAAATGATCAATCAAACTGCAAAAATTATCAACAGTCCAAAGCTTCTCTACCTTGTCAGTTGAGCAAAGCCTTTATGATGGCGATAGGAAAAAAAAAAACATACAAGGCAAAAGCAAAGTACTAAATGCAAGTATAGAAGTATAATTCATAATTTCATATGTATTTGTATAGAGGGAAATATTAATTAATTATTATTCATATGCATATGCCAACCTACGCTATTCAACTGCATCTAAAGTAGTTAACGCACTTAAGAAGGATAAATATTTGGTACTTCAAATAAAAACATTCAACTAGAAATGTCATGTGGGATATAAGGAAAGACATGCGTGCCCTGAGAAATTTGCTCACCGTGTAAACACTTTTTAGGAGTTGCAGAACAACTGAGAGAAATTTGTAATTTCTAATACTTTTTTTACAAAATCTAGTCAAGGAAAGTTTTCTTTTGCAAAAAAAAAAAAAAGAAAAAAAGAAAAATTGCCAGAACTCTCGCAACTCATGAAAAAATATCTTACATCATGAACACTTATTTTGTTCGGAATGCCTAAGCAAACCTTTTTTCACGGGATATGATAGCCTCAAAAAAAAAAAAAAAAGGATAAAGGATCGTATTTCAATAGCATCTAGCTTCTACCTCCTATTTTCGATTCCTCATAGGAACTTAATAGAGTTTATCACAAGTTTAATTATTATTGTAAGATATCTTACCAAATAACATAATGGTGTAGCCCTAGTGCTTTTAAGCCCAATTTCTTTTTGACTTGAGTATCAGAAAAGTTGGATCTCAGAAAAAAAAGGATAAAGGATCGTATTTCAATAGCATCTAGCTTCTACCTCCTATTTTCGATTCCTCATAGGAACTTAATAGAGTTTATCACAAGTTTAATTATTATTGTAAGATATCTTACCAAATAACATAATGGTGTAGCCCTAGTGCTTTTAAGCCCAATTTCTTTTTGACTTGAGTATCAGAAAAGTTGGATCTCAGTTCTGGAACAAATGTCAAGCATGTCTTCAATAGAAAATGGATGGAAGCATTCTTCTCATTTTGGAACTCTTCTTAGAAGTTAGAAGTGAGCTGCAGTTATTAGAGATTGGAGTTACCTTTAATTCTACTTTTGTATATGATAATTGAAGAATTTGATTAGGGAAAATGATCCTAAATTTTATTTCTTGGAATCATTACACATATATACACTATAAAAGAATAAATAGAAAAAAAAAGACATTTAATCTAATAAATAATAACAAATAAAAGAAGAAAGTCATTCAATCTAATTGATTTTAATAATTATATCCCACGGATCTTGGAATCAATCCCACTAATTTTGGTTTCATAAGAGGAAATCTCCAAATGCAGCTCAAGATTGTCGCCCACGGATTGTTGACCTGTCAAAGCCGTGGGCCCCCCTCGTGGGCCCCCTCCTTGTTGTGTGATTCAACACTCCCCCTCAAGTTGGGCTGTGTAGGTTGTACAATCCTAACTTGCAAACAAACTAATCAAGCAGAGAGCCCGGTAGTGCATTTATAAGAACATCGGCAAGTTGTTCATGAGTTGGGGTATATACTATAATTTTTTAGTTTTCTATTTTCTAAGATATAAAGTGTTTATCAATGGTAACATGTTTTGTTTTGTCGTGATGTACTGGATCCTTGGTCATACTGATTGCAGCTTGATTGTCACATTTTAACTTTTATCGTGCCTTAAATCTTTATTCCCAGTTCAATCAATACTTGTTTGATCCAAATACCTTCACAAATAGTAACTATTAATACTCCTCCATGTCACTAGGTTCCCCCACACAAATGAACAATATCATATGGTCGATCTCAGTTCAGATTCTGCACTGCTTTTGGAAACAACATATTGTTTCTTTCTCCTCCATGTCACTAGGTTTCCCCTCACAAATTAACAATATTTTTTGGTCGATTGACTATCAACCTGGCTTTCTGCCCAATCTGTATCAAAATAAAGGATCAATTTCCTTTCTTCATTTTTCTTGAATGATAGCAACTTTCCAGGAGTGTTCTTGAGATATCTCAAGATATGATATATTGCCTTCATGTGCTCCTGCATAGAATTACTCATATATAGACTCACCATGTTCACAACAAACCCAATATCTGGACGAGTGTGGGAAAGGTATATAAGCTTTCCTATCAGACGTTGATATCTTCCTTTATCTACTAGAACCTCCGTTTCTATCCCAAGTTTCTTCCTCGGATCCAAAGGTGTACTGGCTAGTCTACATCCTAGCAGGATGATCTCCTTCAGTAGGTCTAAGGTATACTACGTTAGGAAACAAATATACCTTTACTTGATCAAGCTACCTCCATACAAAGTAAGTACCTAAGTGATCCTAGATCTTTAACTTCAAACTCCTTGGATAGAGCCTGTTTGATCTTCATTATTTCCTATATATCATTTCTAGTAAGATGATGTCATCCACATTTACAATCAGTACTGCTACCTTGTTTCTTTCTGACTGCTTCACAAACAAGAAATGATCGGCCTGGCATTATCTAAACCATGGTCTTTTACATACTTTGAGAATCTTCCAAATCATGCTCTAGGAGGCAGCTTTAATCCATAAAAGGATTTCAGTAGTTTACACACTTTGTTCCTTCCATAAGACATCTGAAACCCCATTGGAATCTCCATGTAAACTTCTTCTTTCAGGTTCCCATTCAAGAATGCATACTTGATATCTAGTTGATGTAGGGTCAATCTAATTTGTTGCTAAGGAAAGAAGAATCCTGATAGTGTTGAGCTTTGCAACATTAGCAAAAGTTTCATGATAGTCTATTTCATAAGACTGAGTGAATTATCTTGCAACTAGTCTAGCTTTCACCCTCTCAACACTATCATCCTCCTTATCCTTTACGGTGAACACCCATTTGCAAGTTCCTGGTGGGAGATTCGTAATAGTCCATGTTTGATTTTTCTCCAATGCCATAATTTCTTCTTTAGCAGCCTATCTCCATCCTCGGTGATTCAAAGCTTCCTTAAAATTTTTCGGAATCTGCACATCATCTAACTTTGAAAGGAATACTTGATAAATTTCTAATAATCTATTATAGGAGAGAAAGTTTTCGATTAGATGCTTGGTGTATGATTCTTTATGGCCATTTGATGATTATTTCTGGAGAAAGAATTTTCTTATTTTTCTCCTCTATATGAATCTCTATAGTTGTTGGATCCATTAAAGGAGATTTGACAGATGCAAGATGTTTCTCACTACCCTGCATATGCTATTTTTTCTTTCTTTTCCTCAAGTATACATATTATTGTTCATTAATTACTGCTCTTTGCAAGCATTGATTAGGACTTATGGGTGGAAGTAATAGGTCTGAAGGTGGAGGTTGAGACAGGAGATATGCCTTGTAAAATACTCGTGGTTTGAATTTCTTATGATATTTGTTAATTTTGACTCGACTCTGTTTTGTTGTCTAATAAGGAATTTCACTTCCAAGTTTGAAATTCTCCTTCACTCTCCCCCTGAATTTCAGAACTAGTGAAGTATAGGTTATTTAAAAAAAAGGTGACATCCATGGTTTCAAATACCTTCCTAGAAGTAGAGCATTTATAACCTCTTTTTGTCATGAAATAGCCAATAAAAATGCATTTTTTTTATCTTGGGTGAAGCTTGCTCCTATCTTGTGAATAGCTATGAACAAAAGCAAAGCACCCAAAAACTTTAGGTGGAAGATTTGATGATATGAATCGAGCATAAGGATAGGCTTTAAGTAGAGCTTGTCTAGGCATTTCAAATTTCAGTACCTAAGTAGGTAACCAATTTATTAGGTATACAACAGTAAAAATGGCTTCCCTCTATAGATATTTTGATACTTTGTGAATAGCATAATAGATTTGGAAACTTCCAAAAGTTGCTTATTTTTCCTCTCAGCTATCTCATTTTGTTGAGGTGTAAATACACATTAACTCACTTTGTATTATCTCTTGGCTTGATAAATATTCTCTCATGATAGAATGAAATTACTCTCTCCAATCATTTGACTTCAAGATTTGAATTTTTGTATCAAACTAATTTTGAATCAGTTGAAATGATTTGAATATACTTTCAACTTCATATTTTCCTTCATTAAATAAACCCAAGTGAGTCATCAACAAATATCACAAACCACCTTGCACCACTTATATTTTTTACCTTTGAGGGTCCCTAAATATCACTATGGATCAAGGCAAAGGATTTAGAAGTTGGTAAGGAACAGTTGGATAAGATGATCTAGTATGTTTAATCAATTGGCAAGTTTCACATTTGAACAAACTTTGATTTTCATTAATAAATAAACGGAGAAAAATCTTTTCAAGATACATGAAATTTGGATGACCTAACCTATAATGTCACATGATCATCTCTCTATTTTGATTGACTCTAGAATAGTACTCAACAAACAAACTCATAATATGATGATTCTTAGCAGCAATTAAGGACTACGTGTCATGATGTACCATAACCCAGAACACATCTCAGCGCTGCCACTCTTATTCTCAAAATCCAGTTCCTAAAAAATACATACATTATTGAAGAAAATTATTAAGGAATTACAATCACGGATCAATTTACTGATTGAAAACAGTTTGCACTCAAGATTGGGCACATAAAAAGCACCGATTTAAGGGTGACAGCTTCTATGAAAAAAGCAGAATCAGTTTCCAAAAATTTGGACGTTGAGGCATCAACAACCTTAATTGCTCCATTTGAATGATAAGGTTGATAGTCATGAAGAAGTGTAAAGTCTGTTGTCATGTGATCTGATGCTCCTAAGTCAATAACCCAAAATTTTGATTATTTTATACCTGAGTGTGCGTGTAGGCTGGTAGCAGGTTCTGGAGACTGTTTGTTCCTGATGTTGTTAAGCAGTAATTTCAGCATGTGAAAGGAATGGCTTCAGCTTTGATGATATGATCTCGCATAGTGTTGACGGAGTTCATCTTGCTTTCTTGTGTTGATTTGCTTGCCTTCCAATCATATGGGTTCCATCAATCTTATAACATGTCTCCTCTGTGTGTCCTGGTTTGGCACAATGATCACACTGCAGTCTTCCTCCCTTCTTTTGATGTCAATTTTCAACATGTGAGGGCTTTCAATTGCTGTGGATAGTAAGAGCATTTCCTTCTTCAACCTTTGGACATCCTTGTAGGCTTCCTAGGTTGATCTTTATTTAGCTCTCTTCCCTTCGAACTTCAAAAAAGGCCTCCTAGAGATTTGGTTCCCATGATCTGTCCTATAACGCCATCCAAGTTCTTGTTCAAACCCATCAAGAATTTGAATATTCTTTTTGTCTCAACAATCTTTTGGTGAAGTGCGTGATCTTCTAAGCATTTTCATTGATATTGTTCAAACACATCTAATTGTTTCCAATAACAAGTTAGAGTATTAAAATATTGAGTTACCATCAGGTCCTCTTGTCGGCAGTCATGAAGGATGGTCTCAATTGAGAATAGCTCGAAAATGTTGTCAGAACTGGAGAAGCTCTCTTTAACGGACTCCCATATTTCTTGGGTCGTCTCGTAAAGAAGAAAGTTCTCACCGATTTCTACATTCATGAAGTTGATGAGCGAAGACATGATCTGATGATTCTCTACTTTCCATTTTCTGTAGAGAGAATCGTTTGTGGTGTTATAGGGGCTTCACCAGTGAGATTGTCCTCTTTCCCTCTCCCGCAAATAAACATTCTTATCGATTAAGACCATTGTGAAAAAAATTCCCATTAAATTTGTGGTTTGTGATGAGAGGAAGATGAGAAGAGTTGTCTGCAGATCCAGAATTTCCGGTGTTTAAACCAGTAATATTTGGGTAGGAGGATGATAATTTTATTTCCTCGATTTAAAGAGAAGATGAATTTTGGGCAAGGGCTATCGGTGCTGGAAGAGAGGCTATCAGTCTGATGATGAAGAGTTACTGCCGACAGAAGATGAGAAGAAATGGAGGAAGGTTTGCCCAAAGAAGGCTTAGGATTTTCCAAAGCTTTGATAACATGAAGAAATTGTTTATAGGAAATTGAATTCAAATTTTATTCCTTGGAATCATTACATATACATACGCTCCAGGAGAATAAACAAAAAAAGTAAGACATTTAATCTAATTAATTATAATAAACAGAAGAGAAAAATCATTTAATCTAATTGATTCTAATAATGATATACCACGGAACTTAGAATCAATCCCCCGGATCTTGGTGCCAGAAGAGTAACTCTCCAATTGTAGCCCACGATTGCCACCCACGGATTGGTGACCTATCAAAGCCGTGGGCCCCCTCCTTGCCATGTGATTCAACAATGGTAAACTAATACAATATTAATAAAAAAATTAGTTAAAAAGGAAATAATTTAGGCTAATTAATAAATATAAAATAAATGTGGAACAATTAGCCTAATTAATCATATAGATTAAATAAAAAAATTACTTATTGTAACAATTTAAAGCTTAATTGATCGTGTAATATGAAACTAGGATAACTAATTAGATTAATTAGAGATTATATAGGATGATTAATAATAGGATTCCTTCCAAAAATTAGCAAAACAATCTTTAGTCCGGTGTACTTGACCACTTGACATGTATTCTTGCATTTCTCAAATAGTCAAGTGAAGACTCGTGCAGGGATAAACAAGATAGAGCTGCATAATTAATTACTCAAAATGGTATGCCATTTTAGGGTTCTAAAAGTAAAAAATAGCCCTAAAAATTTATTATATATTGATATCCATAAATATAATCACCATCACAAACCCTAACAATGTCAAATGTTCTCCTAACCACAGAGCTCCACCTCGTAAAACCATCGCCTTCAATTACTTCCCTCACGAACTAACCAAAAAGTCTCTTTTGCACTGAAACTCGTAGCTCAATTCACCTGAAACCGGACATGAATTGTGTTGATGATACCATCTCCTTCGCAACCTCCCAAAACCCTACTTGTCACTCCTTCACATCCTCTCGACAAGAAGCCGATCAACCCCAATACCTGCTTTCTGTCTCCTATTAGTGAGATCCAGCTGCAATCACATCGAGAAGTGCTCGAACCATAATCCCAAGCTAGATTGTCATCAGAATTAAGGCTTTATGCCTTTTTTTTTTTTAATACAGCACATATAAAATTATATATCAGAAAAAGCAACCTTTGCATTACAAACAACAAGCAACCAAATATCTTTCAAAGAAAAGCAACACATTTTCAACAATAATACAACTTTTTTTTCATCTAGCTTCTCAAAAAACAACAATTGTACCATATGAATCCTAAATCTACATTATTTTGAAATATTTTCAATTTTATCATTATCCTTTTACAACCTCCTTAGGGATGGCAATATAAGAGATCTTATTCATCTTATTCAAGTTTAAAGCTATATTTTGTACCAATTCTAATTTCATTATTCCTTCCACAGGTTTCTTTCCCTCACCAATTTTGTCTATCCTGTTTCCTGTGTTAGTCTTCGAACAAGACTAATAACTGACCTTGTAAACTTACTACATGCCTTACTCTTGGAGCTTCACACTTACTTCTACTTACACATGCCCAAACCATGAGCAATTAATTATCCCGCCTAAATAAAAATCCAGATACTAAATAGGAAAACTACTGCTATTAAGGTCATTAGAACAAGTAGAGCCAAAAGAACCAAAATATTATCCAAAGGCCACTTTAGAAATAATAAACTAAGACTTTAAACTCATTTAATCATTCTTGTGTTACTTCCCTAGCAATCAAGATAAAGTCTATTTACAATATTCTCATACATTGTCCTTTTTTTTAACGAGTAAATGACTAAAATGAACACTCGATTTTTTAAGTGTGTTATATTTTAGTCCCAGAATTTTTTAAGTATTCAATTTAGTTCCTACACTAACCAAATTTGAACTGATTTGGTCCTTCTGTAAATTTGTCATATTGTGGATGGAAATTGATTGAAGAATGCTTTATATGAGGATATGCTAAGCATTTATGGTCAATCTCATTAATTTGAGTCAGAATCAAGCCACGAGATTGACCCTAAAATATCAATAATGAAAATATGGAAAGCATCCCTCCAATTTTCATCCAAAGAAATGGAAAAGTTTACAGCAAGACTAAATTGGTTCAAATTTGGTGAACTAAGGAACTAAATTGAACACTTAAAAAATTTGGGACTAAAATGAATACATCTAAAATGTCTAGAGACCATTGGTTCAAATTTCAGTAATTTATGCCACAAAGATTTTAAAAATAAAAAAAAAATTATGAAAAATAAACATATTTGCAGGCAAGTGCCTGGTGCAAGAACTAAAAGAAAAAATTTCTGCCTTTCGAAGTACAGTACAATACAAAAAAAACATTACAAAAATAATTAGCAGTAAGCAGCATCAATCATGTTTATTACCTAAATCATCTGTAGATGTGGACATATCTCTTCTGCTTGAGGAAACCGTTGTAGCATTAACAAATTTTGAATTTGAAGAGGCTTTCCTCAGCTTGGCCTGTAAGAGCTTTTTTTCTGTTTGACAAGAAATTAATCAAAATCATGGAGAAAGCTTGCACATGAAAAATAAACATGCATGTCATCACATGGGCATAAAACACCCACAACTTTCGAGCCTCCTCAATATTTAAGAGAAAATTCAAGGACTAGTTTCACTAGAGGTAGATTTAGGTTTGTTTTAATTGGATTTTGTGTCATGAATTTATGTAGATATAGATTTAAGACTTTCAATAGGCACGTAGTGGTATAAAGATTTATTGTTGTAGTTGTTCTTGTTGAATAGACACAATCCCATAGTTAATGAACCCTCCTGCTCACAGGAGAGCACTTTCAATCAAGGAAGTTGCTTAGGACTGTATTTTGGACTTAAAATTAGGTAGCTAGTTGTGAGTTTAATCGAAGAATGGTTAGGGAATGGAGATGGACCTGATTAAAATCTAAAGTTCCATCATCACAAGTATAACAATGAACCTAGCTGCCAACGTCAAGAGGGCTTTAAGCCAAACCATCCAAAGAGCTTGATTAGAAACCATGTGGATTATTTCATTCCAGGTAACCTGAACAAATCAAGGTCGAACTCCAAGTCAAAGATGTGCTTTTGAAATTGAACTCAACTCATTCAATAGCTAAAAAGCTAAAAAACTGCAAATGACCAACAAGAACTCAAGAGGCATGGAATGACTATCAGGTGTCCATGACTTTCAACTTGACTCAAAGAAGACACTTAAGAGGTTTGGTTGTGAGATTCCCTACATATAGTTCAAATTGAGGCTTGCATTCATTATAAGGCCAAAAAGTTTTTACTTGGCAAATTTGTTGAATTTGTGTTAGCTCCAATAATTAGGATAAGGAATACATTGATTGAGAGGATCACAAACAGTACTTAGAAACTCAAGGACAAGGAAAGTCCTATTACCTTACTAGTAGGTAAAAGTGGATCAAATTATTAAATAAATTGATTTAATGGGGTTATTGGCTTTATGTCACCTTAAATTAATTAGATTGTCGTCTACATTCATTGGAATACCAAACAAAATACCTAATTTGAATTATCATTTTGAACAATAAAAGTTGCACCTGGACAAACAACCCTACATTTGAGGAAAGTCCAACATAAGTCTTATTGCTCTTACTTTAAAAAACATGAAATGACTTATAATACTATATTATTGAAAAGAGCTTATGAAGGGAATCTTATGGATTCTACTTCAAAACAACCTCGCTTTATAAGCAAAAACAAATTGAATGGTGGTTCTCAAAACCTAAATTTGTAGCAAGGTCATGCAACGAGATAATGACTCACTAGGACATTTAAATTGACTAAGAGAAAGCAAGATCGAAATAGATTTATTGGTCTGTTTGCTTGATCAACCAAGTTGATATTATGCAATTGAGTTAATACTTCGAGGTATTACAGTGATTTGAAGGCCATGAAAAGGATTTTTTTACACATTTGATTTTCAATTTTTTTTTTTAAGAATAAATCAGGTTCTTTTAAAGAATATCAGAATTTCATTCAAGAAAACTTTATAATTATTGAATGGGAGATGATGCAAGCAATTTAAAATTGTATCCAGAACCATCCTTTTAATTTAAAAGGTCTCCGCAAGTTCTCATTTTCACTTCAAGTTCTTCATCTCATTCTAAAAATTTTTAAGTTTCATCACAAGGTATTTCACATATTGCAATGATAGGGTACTTATTGCATTCACTATGGTTGTTGTTGACCTAATATAATAGAAATATGATATTTGGAGGATATTCTATCTCATTTTTACAAACTCATTATAGGAATATGAGTGTATTCCACAATTAAAAAAGTCTTTGGCAAACAACTTGGATTATTTTATCTTAATATTATTCTCTTTATCCAACCAACAAGTCTCCATTTCATGAAGAGTGCTCTCATTAGGCATCCAAATTTTTGTCAGCTCTGCATGATATCTAAGTCAATTTCCTTTCATGGGGATAGCTGTTTGTCAATTGTCTTTCCATAGGGATGGCTGCTCACAAGCAGAATAATGAAAGCACGATTGTATATATTTATCTCCAAAAATGCTCAAATCACAAAACAATAATGACAATTTACTTGTTGAATTTAAACATTATAGATGAATTATAAAACTCCATCATAATCCTAAAGAGGAAAATCATATCTCACAAATAACAACTCCGCCTAATTTTTGGATGATTTTTCAAGTTGATAGTTAGCGAGGCATCCTTCGATAGATGCAATAGTACATCATGGTACAAATGGCTATGAGGCCTGCCCAAGCAATTTTCACAGTGAGGTGATGCACAATTTATATGATTGAGATGGGGGAAGAGAGAGATTATGTTTTGTGAGGTTATTCCTGGATGTGCCTTCATCACCAATGTCATCTTTTGGTTTACACAAAAATGCATCAAGATGTCTCTCCCTTATAGTAGGTTGTAATGGGGTTTCAAAGAGACAGAAATCGGATATTGTGACGATGGGTTTGTCACATGAGGTTGGAAGCTGGAGTTGTTTGGTTGCAGAAGGCCGTGTACGTGAAGTTAATATACAAAGAGTGATTGGCTAGAGATATGGCATGAGAGAAAGACAAGAGCGGGAGAGATTAGGGTGGTGAGTAAGTTTCGTATGAAATAATGAATGACAGAGGGGAAATAATTTGTGGGTATCGCCAAACGGAGATGAGATTGGGATGGGTTGGTAAGATGAAAGGAACCATGTAGGAAACCCATGTGGTTGAGCAAAGAGTTTACGAGCGAGAAAGAGAGGGCAAGAATGGCATCGAAATAGAGAGCAAGTAGGTAGGTAAGAAATCTAGAGAATTCAAAGCATGGGGCACAAAAAAGATACAATGAGCAATTGCTAGAAGGAGATGCATAAGCGACAAGAGAGTGTCGGTAGGCGAGAAGGCAGTGATATGAGCGCATTGGGTCTTAACCTACGTTTCAAGAAGTTGTTTATAGTTATCATAAGCAGAAGTGGACAAGAGGGTCAAGAGAACTATGATCATGGTTTCTTTTCACTATTGACTCGATGATGTGTGGTTGCTAGGCCGTTGAGGATGGATTGGCATGTTTAAGAATAACATGAGAAATAGGATCTACAACTTTTATTGGCATTGTGACTTACATAACTAATGAGATCAAATTTAGATCAGCTCCAATTAACTTTAATGTTCATTACGCTTTGAAGTCAACTAGCAAATAATTTAATTTATACTTGTGATAAAAATCTTAATCAAGTTAATTTAGAGCTACGTAGTTCCCAATTTAAGACCAAATTTTATGGCTGATATTTTAATCATATTTGTTAGATCTTTGATTAATTAGGCAAAACTAATTAAATCTGCTCTAAGAAAATTAGGCTTTCTATAATACTTAATGAACCTCCTAACTAACCAAGAAAGATTAATTCACCCACATTTTGGAGTGAACAATTCGCCCCCAAAATGTATTGTGAAGCTATATCACTGTAAACTTCTTGTATCCTTTAATGGAAATTGAGTCCTTGAGCAAAGGTCTAGGCATTGAATGAATTCAGCTTTGTCTTTGGACAAGTTGAATTGGAGTTCAAGTAGAGGGTTTTAGCTCAACTATAGGGTTTGAGAGCTAAAACCGCTAGTTCAGCCCTTCAGATCATTAAATTGGACTTCAATATTCATGAATCGTTTTACAAATTTTACTACTTAGGTGATTATTCCTGTTGAATTTAAATGAGAACTAGATCCATAGGCCTGTGATAAAAAGATATCTTCCCTTATGAAACCAACATAAATAAACTTTTAACTTCAACAACTTGTTCAATTTCTATTCACATTCTTCATGGAGCTTGTTTCATGGAGGCAAAATTTGGATTGATTGATAATTTATGAAAGATTATTTCTAAAGCTAAATCAGGCATTTCCTAGTAACTCCAAGAGATATAGTCACAAAACTCTTGCAAGAAAGCTGTGATATCTTAAGCCATATGCCTGAAAGCATTTTTTGATAAATATAGGACAAAGGTCATTTTTTGTACCTAAATTAGTTTCTAGAAGTTGATCGATAGTGGCTTGTGCACCAACTTCGAGCTCTTGAGGAACTTACCATGATGATGGTTTAATCTTTAAACTTGTGAAATTAACATGTGCATGTTAACTCAACTATTGGTGCTTTTGGAATTAAAATGGTAGTTTGACCTTAGGCTTATGAATTAATGGTGTTTGTCTTGACCTTTAGATTGTTCAACTAGTAAAATGATGGCTCGATCCTTAAACTTACTGACGGGCTACTAGAGCTTGTTGAATTGGCATGACAACTTGGCCCTTAGACGATAAATCTTGTGCTCAACAAGTATTTGTTGAATAGACACCATTCATGGAATATGAAAGTCCTTCATAATCCTAAAGATGAAGATAGAAGATAGTTGAAGATAAAATTATAAACATAAATCCCTATTTTTTTAATATTTTGCATGTTAAGAAGGCAATGATCCATGCTTTAGTAGATAGCATAGAGAAGTACAACATGATTTAAGATATGAAAAAGACTACAAGGCTCAACACATCTTTCATAATAAGGTGAGAAATGATTTTTGACATTGAGATTGGGATTGAGAGATGATGTTTTGCAAGGTTCTACCTATGTGTACATTCAACGCCTGTCATCTATTGGTTCCTATTCACTCGCATTAAAGTGTATTTCCCTTGCAATGGGATGCAATTGATTCTAGGAGAAAGCGGCATTGATATCCTCAGGATGGGTTTTCAGCAGGAGGTCGAATGTGGGAGTTGATGGGCTTCAAGAAGATCATAGATGCAGAGTTGTTATACAAGCGCCTAGGGAGACAACAGGATAGGAAGAAAAGTACGGTAAGATAAAGAAAGCGAGAGAGCAAGAGAAGATGGTGGATATCATTGAGGGGAGCTAACTGTGGGACAAGTAACTTGAGAAGAAGAAAAATGTTAGCAGTCCATGTATGGTAGCGAAATGGTTAGCAAGCATAGAAGAGAAAGCAAAAATATTGAGAATAAATATAAAACAAGTCAGAAAAAGACTAGGAGAGGGGGAGATTTTATAGACGGGATGCACTAGAGAGAGAGATAACAATAGGAGAGAAGTGAATATGCTCGATTGATGGGAGAGTTTGCCAATGAGAAAACAAGGTGCAGACACGTGTATTGTTCCTTAGGTTTTAAAAAGCAGCATTTGGATATCATGAACAAATGTAGAAAAGAGAAAAAGGAGGGCAAGATCATGGCTTCTTTCTCATGAGCGACTCAATGATGTGCAGCTCTTAGGTTATCAAGGAGCAGTTGAGTGAAGGCTTCTGCAACTTTTTGTAGCATCATAGCTTAATAAGATAGAATTTAGATCAGTTTTAACTAATTGTAATGTTAATTGGGCTTTGAAAAAAATCATCAGCTAGCTAAATCTATACTTATGGATAAAAAAACTATTCAAGCTAATTACAACCTAGCTAGGTTAATTAAACTAGATTTCTAGTCCAAAGGTTTAATCACATTTGTTAGGCTCTTAGTTAATTAGGCAAGGCTGATTGAGTATGCCTTGAGAAATAAGGATTTTTAATAGATTAATTAACCTACTAACTAATTAAGCATGACTATGGCCTAAATTTTCGGTTAAACATCATGTTTGGTATATTGCCTGCTTAGTGTATTATTGTAAGAAAATATCATTACATGCAATATCCAAACAAGAGAATGATTCTTTCCTAAGAGAGCATAATCTATGCACAGACAATAACCATGCACCTGTATGAGGATTCAAAAATCGGTTGGAAGAGGCTTAGAAGATTTTCTGCAAGGCGCTATCTTTGGCATGCAGAAGCAAAGAAAAATAAAAGTAAGCACAAAAATAGCAATTCACACAATCCACGGCTTTAGAATTATTACCTTCTTGCATGGCATTGATTGTAGACTGAAAATCCTGTCGCTCTTTCTCTAAAATGGACACCTTACGTCTGGAAGGATTTAAAAATGCAGCACCTTGTTAGTGGCTTTTATCCTCATTGCATGAATTTCAGTCACAACAAAATAGTTGGTTAATTTAAAAAATAGAGAAAATCGTCAATTTGAAATTTTGCAATTTATTCCCTGCAAAGCAAATATACATCCACTGATCACAAAGCAACCATGCCTTTAAATTTTTTTTTTTTTTTGGCTGTGTGCACATGGTTCTGAACCATTCAAACCAAGAAAACCTATTCGCCTAAACCCTTGCTCGCATTCTCTCATATACAATAACAAAAAAAATATCAAAGAAGATAATATTTAGACCTAGTATATAAAAATTCATATTAAATGTATGAACTTTCAACGACATGAGAACGAATTCAAATAACACAATAAAAGGTTTATTTCATGAATGTCTATACATTTCACATACATCCCACAATGCACTCAATCAAGGATGGGAGCCACAAATAATCTAGCTCTCACACATCTGCAAAACCTAACCGTTAGATTTTAGCAAAGAACAAAACTAGCCCAAAGACATGACACCTATCCCACGAACATAAGTAGTGCAAAAACAAAAAAATAAAGTTTCTTACCAAATTTAACATCGTTCAAACTTTCCAAGCCATAACAAGCGATGTCCAAAAGTAAGATAGCCAGCAAATAAAACTATATTTCCAAGAATATGCATGAGCAACTTCTGGCAAAATAATATTATTCCAATTTACACAGACAAAAACACTTGACATAACTAATTTGATTTTCTTAAATTCCCATTTTCTTGTAAATTAATCAATGCAAATATTAAATATTAACAAGTCATGACTTCAGAACAATATAGGCTACTGAATTACGATTTGGATTGGATGCCATGGAGAGGGAACCGGTATGGTTGGCATATAGCTTTATGCTTTTGGCTTGTTCACAATCAAGTTAGTTATCATTTGATCAGCAGATTAACTAAGCCTAAACAGGCCTTGGAAAGCTTTAAATATGATAAAAGAAGCATAACCAGTACAATTTTTTTCCCATTTTTCTCATGAACAGCCATATCTCTTACTAAAAAGCAGCTCAATTACATGATTTTCTGCAGTTTATTTGGCAGCTCAACTGTCCTCTAAATGCAAATATTAAATTAATTTATAATTAACCTTTTTCTCCTTTTGCAATCTTAGTAGAGCATAGTCCTAGAGGGTTTAATTAAGACTGATAGAAATCATTAATTAATATGTTCATGTATATTTTTATTCATTAAGGTTAGATTTTTTACTAGTAGGAAAACTCAGTAATAAATTAGAGTAGTTTTATATATGAGCATGATAAGTTTATTCTTTCATAGAAGGTTATTGCCTTAAATCACCACATTTAGCTAGCCTGACCAAAGTTTCAGTGTCACTGGATTTTGATTAACAAGCTTAAACAGGATTATTAAGACTTTACTTGTATCGGTTAACTGGGACATAGGTCAGATTAGGGAAACAATTTTGACTAAGTTTAATAACTAAAACTCTTCGCATAGGGCTGACCAAAATTCCAACCTAATACTGACTACATTATCCATAAGAGTGTAGAAATACAGTATAGATATTTTCTCATTGATATGGAATTTTATACCAAAAGCAACTTCATATGATCTCATTAGGGATTTGACAAACATAAGGGCTTCCCATAAAGCAGAGGACGGCATGCTGCTGCTACGCTGATGATGTTGGTGGTGTGTGTTTGGTGTTTTTCGTGGTAGGGTTTACTTCCATAGAAATATATTTGACGTACATGCAAAGAGTTCAAAGCACCCTCCTCTTTACAGAATCAGCATACAACAAAATGTACCGTTATAACATACAATGCAATGCAAACCTTAATTTAGAGAACTGCGGTTAAGTTTCCACTTCAAATCTGCTCTATCCTCATCATACACAGCAAGAACATTTGAGGCAGGACATGCAAAGAGGTTAATCAAAATAATGGCACATAATTGTAAATTTATTATAAACTGCTTCAGATTTAATTCATGCATCTCAAAAAGCTTCGTGGACCTTTCTATAACAGGTTTACTTACATATGCAACACTTAAACACAACTTGATTTACCTAAAATATATTACATAACCCCAAGATTAACACAGGTTGGGAGTTCAGTGAAGGTCAAAAAAGGATTTATATGTATGGAACAGAATAGAAAGAAAGGATGAAAATTCTTTTCTTTTTTATTTGGAATTCTAAGAGAGAAAAGAACCTTTTACTAGAGCAAGGGTTATTTGAATATTATTAAATTTTATTTACCTGAATTCCTTTATTTCTGATTTCGTTGCTTGCCTTCCGAGAGAAACCAAATCCTCTTTATAGAGGAAATTCTTCCACTCATTTTAAACTCCAATCAAAATAAAGTCTTAATTTATTTCTATTTCTTCTCTTTCCACTACAACTTTTAATTTCTAACTCCCAATAAGAGTGTTAATACTATTAGCATATCAGCCAAAATCTCTATGTATTACTGATAAACCATTCTGTTACATTAGTCAACACATAAACTAGCCATGTTCACTTCAGTTAAACAAAGGATATTTGGCAATTACCAAACCAACAGGACACCATAAGGACAATTCTCCCTCATAACAGTCTGCCACCTCATCTCTAAAGTAGGCAAGCAACGCCCTGTCAATTATTTGCACAAATGCAAAGCATCCACATTCACAATCAACAGACATAATCACTTACAGCATCTATGCAAGGATGGAGCACCCTCATCAATGTTGAGCAAAGCTAGAATGCATCTACCCTTTGGTGGGACAACACAGTACCAATTAAGCTATCTCATGCCTCGATGCAGGCCAAAGCATTCTTTCCTATAGTCTGCAGTGCCAAAGAGGCCTTTCTGACCTCTTCAATCCTTGCTGGCTCACAAATATTGTGCAGAGATGTCATTAATCCCGAGCAGTCCTAACCAACTCAACACAAAACCATAAAGTCCTTTGGTGACTGATAGGAAACACTTGGATTCACAAGTGTTCCTAGCCAAAATCAGTAAACTGCAGCAGATTTATTGCTGTCCACAGCAGGAAACAGCCCAAAAACAGGAGTTTTACAAGAGAAATTTGAGAAAAAACGAAGAAAAACTCTTGTATTTCACTAGTAGATGAATAAAACAGTAAAGATACAATTGATCCTCAATTCGAGAGGAGGATCGATCTCTCCCAAATCTCTAGACGCCGCTAGAGCCCAAAGAAAACCTAAATCTACGGGATCTCAAATTTCAGCCAAATTCAAGATGATCAAACCCCAAGAAAACCAACTATTTAATGCATACAAATCAAAAGGAAATCCCTAAACAATCCCTA